CTTAAAAAAACAACTGTTGGACATAATAAACATGATTCGTAACATTAAAGTTTGCCAACATGAAAGTTTCCATGGGACCTGGAAATTGCACAAAGAAAAGCGTCAAAACTTAACTTTGTGAAAGTTAAATAAGAACCAAGATGCATCATGTTAAGGTGTGAGATCCCACTGATGAAAGTAACTGTACCGTTTACCTTAAATGTACCAGTAAACAATGGAAAGAAAATGTGGGATGTAAAGAGGCTTCCTGATCCCTTTCCAGTTTTCTGTGTTACTTTACCTTTTTCCATGTCTCACTGAGGAGTTTGCATTGTTGTTTGGGGAGGCAAAGAAAGGGGTGCTCTCTCTCTTTCTGTCTGGTGTAAGAGACTTAGGGAATGGAAGACATTCACATGCATAGGAATAAAAGTCAAGATAAAAATATTGAGCTAATGGTAAATTAGTTTTGGGGCCATCATCATTACTCAGTTACGGGCCTTAGAATATACCAGATGTTCTTGCTTATGGATAACTATGAAGAAAATGTAAGTACTGAAAGGCAAGAAACAGAAAGAACTTGTTGGTGAATCATACTTGAAAATGGTTTAAAGCATACAACTTGTCAGTGGATCCTAAAGAACAGCATATCCACTAAGGGGAAAAAATAAACAGTTTTATATGTTTGTAAAGTAAGTGCAAATAATTCAGAAAAAGTAGTACAGAAAAATAGAGGAGGCAGTAAGTAAACTATAGAGTCCAGGAACTCCCCAGTCTAAGTATTTACAACCAAGGATTTGAAGATCACTTGACTATCATGCCTATTTGCTGGTTTGGAAAGTTCTAGAATGCATTCCAACCCAAGATGGCTGCCATGAGGGGCAAATGTCATATACAGGCGAATTAAGAGAGACCAAACAAGGTCACATAACCAACTAGTGACACGCCTAGGATTAAACACAGTATCTGACCTGCATTGCTGCCCATTTATTTAAATAAAGCACACTTCTTAAAGTTATTGATACTGATGATAAAAATTAACCTTACTCTTTCTGTAGGTTCGGTATAATTACTGTTTTTCATTTGAGTAAATTAATATACAAGTCAAAGTTAAGTTGTCATTATTACTCATGGAGATATTAGACATGGATGATTCCAACTAACTTCTTGATCCAGGATTCCTAATGTTAATAAAAATAAAATAATTGTATTAGGTTTAATAAAATTATGTTTTTGTCTCCTTTTAAATGTTCCTTTCCCCGTGTCTTTCATTTTATGCTATGTGCATTGACAGTATTTCCAATATCTTACAGTTTGAGTCCTTACCTGTTAACATATTTATTTTTAGTTTTAAGACTATTGAGACACATTTTAAGGGTTCAAAGTTTATAATTTTTTTCAGAAAACTCAAATGTATTTCAGTGTGTCACAAAATCATGATTGACTATTATTGATTTAGAGGCCAATTCTTTGTTTCCAAGTTAGAATCTCTCTCCTTTCAGAAAAAAAAATTTATATTCTGAAGATTCTAATAGGAAACATTGTATGATGATATTTATAATAAGTAAGTTTCTGAGGTTGGAAGGAGCTTACCAAGCACCAAGCCTGATGCCTGAATGTTTTTGTTCCAGTAGTGGAATGACCTTAAGAACTTCACACTGAGCCATGCCCCCAGATTTTTCCCTTAACTTTTTAAAAATAATAATTTTTTACTGAGGGTCTCGCTAAGTTCCTAAGTTTCCCAGGCAAGACTCAAACTTGCAGTTGTCCAATCTCAGCCTCCCAGCCTCAGGCCAGTCGTATGCCACCACGTGTAGTGGTAATGCTTTCCACCTGGTTTTGCTGTAGTGGTCTCCACCCTCCTCCTCCAAGTTGTATCATCCTGGGTTGTGCCCTCCCACTCCATTCTGATTTGTGGGCCCATGCGTTTTTGATATTTGTCTCTGAAAGGGCTCTGGGGCCTCCTTGCTGGCCTGTGCCAAAGGGCTCGATGTGATGCTCGGCCAGTGACTACCTGAGCCTGCACCTACCTACTTTCCTGCTGCTGTAATCAGTGGCAGTGTTAGTTTGATTGTTGACCAGGCCACACTGACATGCCTAAGACATATTAGACACTCAGTGAAGGGCTCCTAATGCCCAAGATAAATGCATGAAAGAAAAAAAATCATGCCACTGAGTTTTCTATTTGAAAAAAGTCAGTGTGAAACTTAAAAGACAAAGAGGGAATTAAAATTCAAATCACACAAGTACTGTTACTTTACACATTGTCACTGTCTTTCAGATAGGGAAGAAATATCTAGCATTAGTCCCTTTGGTTTATTGATAATAACTTCAGTATCAGAAGAAGTACAATAAAAGCATTACAGCACAACATAGATAATGAAATTTAATGTTTCTTTGAAAAAATCCTATTATCTGTTTGTTTTTCTCAGTTGACAGCATCACAGATGCCAAACCTGTTTACAGTATTTTTAATTATTAAGAGAGAGAGAGTAGTAAAACATTTGTATATCACTTAATTCACTCTTACTTGCTTTTCATATAATAAATTATATGCCCAGAGCTTCATTTTCTTCTCCCCAAATTTTAAGTTTGAGTTCAAGTATCCCTCTGGTTCTAAAACTAAGTATAATCGAGTGAATATGCTTTTTCCCATTCAAGCCTTCAGAATATAATTATTTTCTGAAAGAAAAGTGAGAAGTTGTGTTTTTAATAAAAATAACTTAGCCTCTAAATCAGTGATGCTCAGCCCTGGTTCTGTGATTTGCTGTAGTACGCTGAGGTTTCCAAAGGAGGGAGGTGAACCTTTCCACTCTTAAACTGTTTCAGTTTCCTTCAAGTTAAAAATAAATGAAAGACAGAGGGAACACAATACTTAAGGAGAAAAATTATTTTATTAAAGCTAACATACTTTATTTTTATTAGACTTCAAAGTAATCTTTTAATATGTGAAACCAATTAAGATGTGCATTTAATTACCGATTTAAACATTGATCATCTAAAACCAATAAAAGTTAAGGCAATCCTATTTTTTTTCTTTTATTGAGTTTATTGGTACATTTTAGGTATACAGTACAATTACATTCATTGTTGGGATCTTGTACCTTTACATTACAGGTCTTGGTTCTCATTTTTTTCCCCTTGTCCGTGCCCTCCCTTCACTCCCTCCTCCAAGGCAATCCTATTTTATAAAACCATTTTTGCTTCACATGAGAAAGACAAAGAAATGGAAAAAGAAAAAGATGTTAATATATAGACCAACACTGATTAATAAATTTGTATCTATTTTTGATCAATTAGAGAGAATTCCTGTGGATTCTGATTTTTAAAAATTCTTGAAGTATGCAGATGAGTGATACACAGTATGCCGTTATAATAATGATTAAATTTTTTTTACATGTGTTTACATTTAAAATTGAAGAGAAATTGTCACATTTTTCAGAGCGGAATTTTATAAGTTGGCATTAGAACTGTATTTATTACAAAGAATTTCCAAAATAATCATTCTTATTATTCTAAAATACTGATGCCTAGCCACTACATTTCAACCTGTTAATGCTAACCAATATAAGTGAAAGAAACAATAATTTCTATTGACCTGTGTGCACCTGCTGAGTTGCTGGTAAGAATATCAAGCTAATAGTTCCAGAAAACAATCGAGGGCATTCCTTATGCTGTTTTGTGAACACTGGCCACATTTTTCCACGGTAATACCAAAACCAAGGATGAGGGAAGAGTTTTCTCTTGTCCACTCTGGTTCTACCAAGGTTTGGGTAAAGACAAAGAAAGCCAATTTTTGACTACCAGTTACTTGGCCGATTGACATGTGGCAAGATAAAGGCAAGAGACTGTGACAGTTTGCTTGCTGACCAAACAGCTCTTTCAAGAAATTAACTGACAGTTGAAGTCACTTAATAGTGACTTAGGTTTTCTAGATTTAGATGACTTATCTGCCTGCTTCAGAAGGGACATGTACTTATAATACAAACTTAAGCTCTCTGTGTCAAATAAAGTCATTTAGAAAAAAAGAAAAAAAGAATTCACCTTTATGGCATGTGTACATTCATATAGTCTGTCCACTTCAAGATGTGGGGTCCTTTCCATTTTCCAGGTCAAGGCTGAGTAGCTGCTTTTTCTGGAGTCTTCCTGTTAGTGAGCAGTGGGAAGAAAAGCGTAGAATGTGCTTCTCACCTGACCATACCTGCTTCTTTATTCCTCAGTGAAATATGTGCCAAACGCCACACAAGCCACACTGTCTCTTTAAGAATGTTCTCGAAGCATGTGCGTGTGAAGAGTACTTATTAACTTGCTGTTGCCTGCTGAGAAAACATTGTTTATGTAGAATTGGCTTATTGCTAACAAGAATATATTAAGATATAACCCCAGCGAGGCACAATACAGACCCTTTTTCTAAGCATATTCTTTCAAGTCTTTCTCACTCCAGTTGATGATATTAAAGCAGGATCAGACATGTAATCACTCAATCCTTTCCTTACTGGAAAAGGCAAAGAGATTTTATTAAGATTAGAAAAATTTCCCCACCCTATTTGTCTCTTCCCCACCAGTGTCTCAGCGATTGCCCCTCCGAACCGTGAGATGCTAAATAGTTCAGATGTTTCCCTCTTCCTGTAATAATCATGCATATGCCCAGCTTGGTGTCTCCCTTGCCTCATGAATTTGCAGAGTAGCCCGGGCTAGGCTCCCTCATGTCTTGGGGACAATTGCCAAGGCTGATCCAAGGAGAAACAAATTGTGAGAGAGAAGGGCTACTTTATTTAGCAAAGCTCTGACCCTTTCCTGTCTGTAGCTTTTGAACATGTTTCCTGAGTCCCTCCACCCCGGTTCTCTCTCCTTTGCTTTACGCAACGCACCCCTGACCCCTGGCTGATCCCATAGCAGAGCTCACTCTGAACCAACACGGATCTGGTCCTCTGCTGTGCTGCTGAGCCCAGCCCTGCCATGATGGTGCCCAGTGGTGGGTAATGGGCACATCTGATCTCCATTTTTCCTTCTTTATTTCCTAGGATCCAAGTGAATATCAGTGGGCAAGAGGCAGAGAACAGGAAGTCAAGACATCACTGTGTTGCTGCTGGCAGCAGCAGGTTATGGACCCCATCCTGTGATGTGTCAAATGCGTGTGACTCCCCTCAGACCCTCTTGACGTTTGTCTGCACACCCAGGTGGGTGCGTTTGGATTCCTCCAGGTGGCAGTGGCTGCCCTGGAGTCACTTCTGCAGGAAGGAGGCTCACCCTGGAATAGCTGATCTACATTTCCGTAGGATCAATGCTGTGGAGACTGCATACACTGGTAAGTAGTTAAGCAGCTGCTTTCGTCTCTGCTGACAATAATTATGGATTACGGTGCCCAGTACAAGAACGAGCAAGTGGTCAGGAGAAAAATCAGCAGTGAAACTACATTTTTGGGTAACATCTACATCAGCAAGGAAAGAAAGAATAGAAGAATAAAGGCCCGGAGAATGTAAGGAGAGATCCAGACAGGTTGGCACATAGATACTCCTGCAGAGTCCTTTGTTTTGCACCTGAACTTCTAGGTGGCCACAGTGTCAGCTTTCTATCCCTCCTTTTCCCCCTTTCCCTTTCATGTTTCTTGGTTTTGTGGGAATTTTCAGGCCCACTCCCCCATCCCTTCTGTCCATCAGTGGTTTCAGCAAAACACAAGATAGCGAGACTGATGGCAGCTCACATGACTGAGACCCATGAGAATAGGTTAGATTTCATGTTCGTGTAACTGTTTTCCTTCAGGTGGGCTCTTCCCACCGTTCTCTCCAGTGATTCTGTTTTCATCACCTCCCAAATGGTCTTCATAGACCAGTCACTATGAAGAAAATGGGACAGGAAGTACACACGAGCACAGAGAAATAAATACTCTCCCATGAGCTCCACGAAATACTAGTCACATCCTAATTGCTGATCAAGTAGTTTATTACCCATTGCCAGATTGTGCTACAGTGAACATCAGTAGCTAAACAAACAAATGATAATTTCTTAGTAAGAGGAGAAATATTTGAGAGGATTTTCCTGATGCTGATTTTTTGCCCCATATTTTGCTGTTGTTGGGGTTTGTTTCAGGAGATATTTGATAGAATACTCAGCAATCTGTCTGTGAATCATTAAGGGATTGATTGAATTTAGACTTAAACTTGGCTGGCTAACTGGTCTCTGATAATTTATTATTATGTCTTTTGGTTGTTTGATTTTTTTTTTTTAACTTTACTCAGCCAAACTGAGTAAGCTACACTTCTTCAAGCTACACTTCTTCAAGCTACACTTCTATTACCCCAAAGGGGTAAATCAGTCCACATAAAAGCCCTCTGTGACATGGCCCTTTCGATGTCCATCAGTTTGACTTTAAACACAGGGAGTGTGGTTGAGCTTTGTGTCCTGAGTTATCCCGGAAGTGACACCATCCCATAGCCCTCATAGACCAAGACAGAGCTCAGCAGAGTGGTGGGGGTCAGTTTGGCAGTCTGTCCAGTTCCTATGGCTTGCACTATAGAAATCAAAGTTGTAAATTCAGTGGCTTTGGGACCTAGCAAGGTCTGTTTTGTTACATGTGTCAGTTGTGGACACGACAGTGTCTAATGTCGAGATGATTAAGGTTGAATCAGTACCAAGGAATCAACTATTCTTAGTAAACAAATTTAAATAGAACACAGTTAGCAATTTAAAAAGTAGAATTCTTTCAGGAACTTGCGGGCAAGATCTCAATCTTTGTCCCTCTCTCATCGGATAGTATAATGTTATTTTATGGGCTGAAAGACAATTGGATCTAGTATTTTCTTCTGTATGGTGACTAGGAAGATATTCTTTATGAAGCACCTATTGTGTGTTAGCTAAATGGAGTTGTGTGAAGGCCAGCTGCTCCTTGCTTTGGCTCCTTCTTGGGCTTGACTCTCTGTAGGTCTGGTCTCAAAGACCATGGCACCAGCTGTCCTCTTGATTACATTGCTGAACTCCATGGTTAACAAGTGTTGTTTTCCATCTAATGAATTTGCCCTGCGGGCACAGAAGAAGTGTTGGCTCCACCATTTTCAGAGGCCAGGCAACATAAATTTCACAGGATTTTGTTGATGTTAATTGGTTTGCATCAGTGTGAGACATTTTTGCTCCTGGCTCATTTGTCTTCCGGATCATTTGAATTGCAAGGTCCAGGGCCAGCCAGTCATTCAACCATGTGATTCCAGGCTTAACAATATCTGGGAGTCACTAGTGACTCAATCACACTTTCGTTTATTGCTCAATGAAATAATAAATAACAATAACTTCAGACTTTTAACCAAGCTGCTTTTCTCCAGGGGCAAAAATCAAGCTTTACATTATAAAGAACTATGTGCTTTCACTTTTTTTTTTTTTTTTTTGCAAAGAAATAAGTCAAAATGTTCTTGTGGCAGTAACAAAAGACTCTTTCCAGAGGTGTAGCTACCAACAGCTGCAGCAAATTCTACAAAGCAGCTTTAGAATTAAAGACAAAGTGGGAGACAACAGGGGGCTAGAGGAGATAAATATTCTTATAATGGATAAACTCTCGTGTATGCACAAATGCAAGGTGTTTTTCTCTTATAAAATAAATGACTTCTCAATGTTTATGTTAATATGAACCTGTGCTTTGTAAATATGCCTGTTGATAGGAGCCTCCCTCAGTGGCTAGGTGGGAGGAATAAAGGAATGGTACATTCTTGTTCTTATTTTGTTTGTGTTGCCGGTGTTAGCTCATGCAGTGTGCCTGCGCCCTTAAGAAGTTTCTATGATAGTTTCTCAAGACATCCATGAACTAACCATGCAGGTTAGTCTGAAAATGGGTCTTAGGGACTGAAAATTGGTTACCAGACCGCTGCTATCCAGGGTGAAGGGATATCCTTTTTATGTAAAATCGATTAATAACTGAAGCTTCTTTACAATAAAATAAAAATTAGAAAGCTGATCATATACTTGATTCTCATGACAATATCAAATTGCTATAAAATTTCCTAAGTACTTGACCCTTTAAAAAAAATTTTTTTTTTTTTAGTTTATTGGTACAATCTAGGTATACAATACAGTTACATTCATTACTGGGATCCTGTACCTGCACATGACAGGTCTTGGTTCTCATTTTTCCCCTTGTCCCTGCCCTCCCTTCACCCTCTCCTCCCCTCCCCATTTACAAACACTTTATTTCCATTTTTTCATTTTCTCATATTTTTTTCTTTTCCCTTATTCCCTTTCCCCTACCCTTCCCACTTTCCCTACACCTTTAGCCCTTTTCTTCCTATTTCACACTATTAATTATCCCATTAGGATCCTGCGTACTATTATAGTTTTTCACACCAGAGAAGCTATTTGGTATTTACACATGTGTGACTTAATTATTTCACTTGAGTATATCCTCAATATGCATCCATTTTTCCTACAAATGACTCTAATTTCTCATTCTTTATGACTAAATAGTATTCCATTTTATAGAAAAACCACATCTTTTTTATCCAGTTTCCAGCAGATGGGTAAATGGGCTGTTTCCAAGTTTTAGCTATTACAAACAGTGCTGCTATAAACATTGGTGTGCATATATCACTGTGGTATGATTCTTTTAATTCTTTTGGAAAGATACCCAGAAGAGGGATGGCTGTGTCAAATGGATCCTCTAGTCCCAGCTCTTTGAGGTATCTCCATATTGATTTCCATAGTGGTTGCACCAGTCTGCACTCCCACCAACAATGGAGAAGGGTTCCTTTCTCCCCACAACCCTGCCAACATTTGTTATTGAGTGATTTCTTGATAGCAGCCATTCTTTGTGGGGTGAGGTGGAATCTCAATGTTGTTTTCATCTGCATCTCTCAAATGACCAGTGATGTGGAACATTTTTTCATATATTTACTTGCTGCTTTTACTTCTTTGAGAAATGTCTGTTCATTTCAGATGCCCATTTTTGAATTGGGTCTTTATATTGGGGGGGCTGCTTGTTTTGAATTCTTTATATATTCTAGATAATAGTCCTTTATACTTGACTCTTAAATCTTTGTACTTATCTTGATGCAGACTGGTTACAGACAATTCCTGAATTGCATTGCCCACTTTTAATTTTTTTTTTTTTAACCAGCTCCTTTCTGGACAGTTCAAATGCAATAAGTACTCTATTCTAGGTTTAAAATAAATTAGATATTATTTTTAAAATACATTGGGGTTAAAAAGTAAATGAGTAAGATTATTAAAGTGTCAGTTTAATAAAAGACTTATTTTCTAAAGACTTTAAAAAGAACTCACTATTCTGGAATACAGAAGAGTGCTTTTAAGTTGACTTTATTGTTGGTCTAGCCTAACATCCTTTTGAAGCCTGTCAGTGGTCCCTATAAAGATGTTTGGAGCATTTGCAAATAGGGTGTTAGAAAACTTGCTTCAACATTTAATACAAAAAGAATCAAATTCCTTCTAAACTTCTGCAGGAGAAGCTGTGTTTCTTCATGCCACTTCATTACTGAACATTATTTTTTGGAGATGCATTTATAGATGTTGTTTTATAACCATGGTGTGTCTTTGTGCAATGGCTGGCCCTGCTCAGGGGAGATACTGGATGTCCCCACACAGAGAAAGCAGTAAACATCTGACCCTTTTTTTACTAAGGGACCAAGCCAACCAGGATGTCATAGGTGTGTAACCTGTAGTTTAAGCCTAGAGTCTTTTGGGATCTTGGTATAATTTTAGTGTTGTGTGTATACAGAGACATCCCTGTGTATGGCGATGGTCTAGGGAACAGTTTGTGTCTGTACTGTCAGGTCATTGGTTTTACATATAGCATTCTCCTAGACAAGGAAGTCATGTAGAAGTTGAGCAGATGTGGCATATTGGCTTGGTGCGGCCATTGGATGCCAGGGTTCTTCTGTTTTCCTAACATGTTGGCCATATCCACTAGGTCTGGGGTGGTTCACAGTCTGACTGTAGCCCAGTCAAGGAAAAGGAGCTTGGAGAAGCAGGGGAGAACTTGGCCCATCCTTTAGGGTATTATTTGTGAGCTGCGTACATTCCTTCTTTGCATATCCCATTGGCACATCTGCCCCAAGATAAGACCACGAATTAAGAGCTGAGAATGTATATGGCCTTGCCTTGCGCTCCCAATACATGACCTATTTACATACTTTAGATGTCAAAGTTCAATAGCCAATTAGCCACTGAGCTTCAAAGAAGGGAATGTGCTTATTTCAGGACCATTGCATTCCATAAGGTGGGGAGATGGATGTTGGGATCTGCAGTGCATGTAAACACCCTTTGCAGCTCCCATGCCACGGTTCACTTTGATTCTCCCAGGAGGGTCAG